ACCAGCTCTTGGATTTATTGATTTTTTGAAGGGTTTTTCGTGTCTCAATCTCCTTCAGCTCAGCTCTGATCTTAGTAATTTCTTGTCTTCTGCTGGGTTTTGAGTTTTTTTGATCTTGCTCCTCTAGCTCTTTCAATTTTGACGATAGGGTGTCAATTTTGGATCTCTCCATTCTCCTCATATGGGCACTTATTGCTATATACTTTCCTCTAGAGACTGCTTTAAATGTGTCCCAGAGGTTCTGGCACGTTGTGTCTTCGTTCTCATTGGTTTCGAAGAACTTCTTTATTTCTGCCTTCATTTCATTGTTTACCCAGTCAACATTCAAGAGCCAGTTGTTCAGTTTCCATGAAGCTGTGCGGTTCTGGGTCGGTTTCTGTATTCTGAGTTCTAACTTGATTGCACTATGGTCTGAGAGGCTGTTTGTTATGATTTCAGTTGTTTTGCATTTGTTGAGCAGTGCTTTACTTCCAATTATGTGGTCAATTTTAGAGTAGGTGTGATGTGGTGCTGAGAAGAATGTGTATTCTGTGGATTTGGGGTGGAGAGTTCTGTAAATGTCTATCAGGTTTGCTTGCTCCAGGTCTGAGTTCAAGCCCTGGATATCCTTGTTGATTTTCTGTCTGGTTGATCTGTCTAGTATTGACAGTGGAGTGTTAAAGTCTCCCACTATTATTGTGTGGGAGTCTAAGTCCTTTTGTAATTCATTAAGAACTTGCCTTATGTATCTGGGTGCTCCTGCATTGGGTCCATATATGTTTAGGATCGTTAGCTCTTCTTGTTGTATCCATCCTTTTACCATTATATAATGACCTTCTTTGTCTCTTTTGATCTTTGTTGCTTTAAAGTCTATTTTATCAGAGATGAGAATTGCAACTCCTGCTTTTTTTTGCTTTCCATTAGCTTGGTAAATCTTCCTCCATCCCTTTATTTTGAGCCTTTGTGTATCCTTGCATGTGAGATGGGTTTCCTGGATACAGCACACTGATGGGTTTTGGATTTTTATCCAATTTGCCAGTCTGTGTCTTTTGATTGGTGCATTTAGTCCTTTTACATTTAGGGTTAATATTGTTATGTGTGAATTTGATACTGCCATTTTGATGCTAAGTGGCTGTTTTGCCTGTTAGTTGTTGTAGATTCTTCATTATGTTGATGCTCTTTAGCATTCAGTGTGATTTTGGAATGGCTGGTACTGGTTGATTCTTTCTATGTGTAGTGCCTCTTTTAGGAGCTCTTGTAAAGCTGGCCTGGTGGTGACAAAATCTCTGAGTACTTGCTTGTTCGCAAAGGATTTTATTTTTCCTTCACTTCTGAAGCTCAGTTTGGCTGGATATGAAATTCTGGGTTGAAAGTTCTTTTCTTTAAGAATGTTGAATATTGGCCCCTACTCTCTTCTGGCTTGTAGTGTTTCTGCCGAGAGATCTGCTGTGAGTCTGATGGGCTTCCCTTTGTGGGTGACCCGACCTTTCTCTCTGGCTGCCCTTAGTATTCTCTCCTTTATTTCAACCCTGTTGAATCTGACAATTATGTGCCTTGGGGTTGCTCTTCTTGTGGAATATCTTTGTGGTGTTCTCTGTATTTCCTGCAATTGAGTGTTGGCCTGTCTTGCTAGGTGGGGGAAATTTTCCTGGATGATATCCTGAAGAGTATTTTCCAGCTTGGATTCATTCTCTTCGTCCCCTTCTGCTACACCTATCAAACGTAGGTTAGGTCTTTTCACATAGTCCCACATTTCTTGGAGACTTTGTTCATTCCTTTTTGCGCTTTTTTCTCTAATCTTGGTTTCTCGTTTTATTTCATTGAGTTGGTCTTCGACTTCAGATATTCTTTCTTCTGCTTGGTCAATTCGGCTATTGAAACTTGTGCTTGCTTCGCGATGTTCTCGTATTGTGTTTTTCAGCTCCTTTAATTCATTCATATTCCTCTCTAAGTTATCCATTCTTATTATCATTTCCTTGAATCTTTTTTCAAATCTTTTTTCAAGGTTCTTAGTTTCTTTGCATTGATTTAATACATGATCTTTTAGCTCACAAAAGTTTCTCATTATCCATCTTCTGAAGTCTAATTCCGTCATTTCGTCACAGTCATTCTCCGTCCAGCTTTGTTCCCTTGCTGGTGAGGAGGTTTGGTCCTTTCTAGGAGGCGAGGTGTTCTGGTTTTGGGTGTTTTCCTCCTTTTTGCACTGGTTTCTTCCCATCTTTGTGGATTTGTCCGCTGGTCGTCTGCGTAGTTGCTGACTTTTCGATTGGGTCTCTGAGTGGACACCCAGAATGTTGATGATGAAGTATTTCTGTTGCTTGGTTTTCCTTCTACCAGTCTAGCCCCTTCGCTGTACGAGTGCTGAGGTCCGCTCCAGACCCTGCTTGTCTGGGGTGCACCTCTAGCAGCTGTGGCACAGCGAGGGATGCTACCAGTTTCTTTTTCTGCTATCTTTTTCCCAGGATGATGCCTGCCTAATGTCAGTCTTTTGGATATAGAGGGGTCAGGGAGCTGCTTGAGGAGACAGTTTGTACTTTATAGGAGCTTAATTGCTGAGCTGTGAGCTCTGTTGTTCATTCAGGGCTGTTAGGCTGCTATGTTTGATTCTGCTGCAACAGAGCTCATTAAAAAAACCCTTTTTTTTCTCAAATGCTCTGTGTTGAGGGGTTTGGGCTTTATTTTTGGATGTCCCTTGAGGTCCTGCCCAGCTAGGATGCAGACTAGCCACTGTTTGCCTGCCAAGGCTCCGCCCTGCTGTTGTGAGGCTCGCCCTGGCTCTGCTCTTCTGCTGTGTTCTCCACCATGCCCTGCGGCAGAGTCTCTCTGTTGTAGCGGGTTGCCTCGGCAACGGCAGGCTGCGTCAGCAGTGGGCGTGTATCTCAGTACGGACAGGTTGCCTCGGCAATGGCTGGCTGCATCAGCAATGGGTGTGTATCTCAGTTGGGGCGGGTTGCCTTGGTAATGGTGGACGCCCCTCTCCCTCAGAGCGTCTCGGGCCATCTGCACGGGGCTTGTTTGAAATCGCGGTTTTGTTCGTCCCACTGGGCCACCCCTAACGCTCTGTCCCTGCAATCCCCTGGGCTGGCCCACTGTCCAAGTCTAGCTCAGTCTCAAGTCTAGCCCTCTCACGTCTCTGGTGGCCGGTTCAAGGGGCACCCGGACAAGCGCGCCCTGTGGGGAGCGCTGGGTAGGGCCAGCCACTGCCACCTCGGCTGCTGGCTTCACCGGGCGGAGGTTCTGCCTGGCGTCCTGCATCTCCTCTTCACTTGGGAATTTCCCCGTTCCGTGGGCAACAAAGATCAGTCTGGAAATGCAGCTCAGACACACTCTCCGCGGACACAACGAGAGCTCCAATCCTGGGTTGTTCTCACAGCGCCATCTTGAGTCCTTGTCCGAGCTATATCTTTTTTCTTGATTTTTCCCTTGTTTCTGCCTGCCCAGTAGCGAGTCTTGTTCATCCTTAATGCCTATTGAATAGGGTTCTTTTTTCTCTTCTTACTGCAGCCATAATAATTGAGAAATGCATAGCTTCACTCTACTACAACTATCTCCTTGATTTGTTGCATAGAATCTTCAAAATCTTACCTTCCTTAACCTACCTGGCCTCATGTCTCTGTTTACTCAGCACCAGCTGTGGTTGCCCTTGCACTGCTCAATGAATGTGCCTTTGTTCAGTGTGTCCCTGTACCGCTATTTCCTGTATCATAATGAATCCTTCCCATCCTTCCAGGAGTTCTGAAGTTACATGTCCTTCCTAAGTTCTCCCTTGATCCTCTTCCTCCCATGTAATTTTTCCTCTCTTCACACCCATGAAAATAACCACTGTGATTTTCACTTGGGCCTTCATCATTTGCCATTTTATTATTTATATCTTAGTGTTATAACCCCTGTATTACTACTTACACAATTCATGACTTGGTTAACTTCCTGTGTTTCTTGCACACTGTCCTTAGTCTAGGGACTGTTTGCCACACTTCTTTGCTCACTCTAAATTAATTCGTGTGGTAGTATGTACAGGGGCACCTTGCACTTCCAACTTTACCTATGTTATCTAGCCTTGTTGCCTTGGACTACTCACTTCATTTCCCAGAGCTTCAGTTTCCTTATCTCTAAGATAGCAATACTGATATTTTCTGTTAGAAATGATTATTAGAATACTTATAATGTAGGGAAGATAACTTTTATAATGCTGGTACAATAAACTTATTTTCAGCATTATCAAATTTATTATAGTAGGTAGTCAGGAAGTATGTCTTCATGAAGTGTGTAGAGAGTGGAGTTATAGTTACCAGAGTCTGGGATGGGGTGGGGGCCGTAAAGAGAGGTTTGTTAGTGGGAACAAAGAGACAGTTAAATAGCAGGAGTGAGTGCTTTTGTTTGATAACACAGTAGGGTGATGACAGTTAACAGCAATTTATGGTATATTTCAAAATAGCTAGAAGAGAAGATTTGAAATGTTTTAATGCAAAGAAATGATGAATGTGTCCGGGTGCAGTGACTCACACCTGTAATCCCAGCACTTTGTGAGACTGACGTGGGTGGATCACAAGGTCAGGAGTTCGAGACCAGCCTGGCCAACATAGTGAAACCCCATCTCTACTAAAAATATAAAAATTAGCTGGGTGTGGCTGCACACACCTGTAGTCCCAGCTACACAGGAGGCTGAGGGGGAAGAATTGCTTGAACCCATGAGGCAGAGGTTGCAGTGAGCCAAGACCATGCCATTGTACTCCAGCCTGGGTGACAGAGTGAGACTCTGTCTCAAAAAAATATGGTAAACGTTTGAGGTGATGGAGAACCTAAATACCCTAATTTGATCACTACCTATGGTATATATGTATCAAAATATCACCTGTATCCCATAATATGTATAACTATTATGTATCAATGAAAATCTAAATATATAAATAAAAAGAGCAAACAGATATAACAAAAGTAAATTTAGGTTTGTTAATATTTTAATATGGATCATAGTCTATCAATATATGATGTATTTTTTTCTCTTTATAAATTCTTTATAGAACGTCTTGCAAATCCAGACCATACACAATAAGTATTTGAGTGACTCAAATCCACTAAAAGTTGGATATATTAGAATCTGGGGTATGAACTCTACCTATGTGACACAAGTCAGTTTCACCTATGACAACCAGCAATTTATGGAGAGAAATTTCAATAGCGACCCTTATAAACAGGTAGGTCTGAAAGGAATATTAGCATATCACAAGGAAATTTTTTCATTCTGCAAAATTATCACCAATAATTCTGATAGCAATTAAAATTATCATTGTTATATTATCATATATTAAAAGGTTATAAATATGTGCAATAGATATGTTCCTGAAAAGTAGCAAATGTTGAATCATATTGTAAAATGTGCAACATTAGTGGTCTTTTCAGTATAGCCTAGGGGTCAGTGATCACTGGCCTGATGAGATCCTCTCCATGTATTTACCAAAGAGACTGCTATGTTTTGATAGGTTGGTCTTCCACATGAGCAAAATAAAACTTATTTCTGCTGTAGAGGCTAAAACAAAGGAAAGGGTGATTCCCTAAAGCTGTTGAAGGTTTCCCCATCCTTCCTGCAGTTATTCATGTCCCTGGTCAAACTGATGGATCTTATGGGTGGATGAAAATTGGCAGTAAACTGTGGCAATCATCAGGTGAATATATTCACCTGTGGTATAAGATAAAAGGTTGACAAAACAGGGGGACATAAACAGCAGGCCCTACCTGAGGATTCTAGAACTAACTAAACTAGAATTTTGGAAGATGAAATACCAATCGTTACCAAAGCAACTACAAAAAAAAGTATCTGACTTTTAGAACATAAGACTTCATAAACACAGAATCAGCAACCCATAATGAATAGTTTAGAAAAGTGAAAATGGATAACCATAGTTCTTTTTTTCTAAAAGGTGAAATGGGCACCCTGATGGTATTTGGACTCTGGAAAATGGCCCCTCTGAGTGCTCAAATAGATACTCTCCCTTTAAGCTCTTCTGGGCATTTACCTTAAAGCATTTTACCTAGACCACTGAGTTCAAAACTACTCTTTGCAAGTAATTGCTTCTAGTTAAGATTGTGTAGAAAATCCTTGAAGTTTTAAAAAAACTCTATGGCGTATCTGATGCCTATTATGTGCCAGACACTGTCCTGTTTGGAATGAGGAAAACACAAAACCACCCTGCTGTCAAGAGGACTAAAACCCAGTGGCAAAACAAAGAGATTTTAATAAATGTTGGTTTTAATCACAGCTACAAATATTTGTGAACAATAAGGTTCTGACTAAATGAAGTGAAAAGAAACAGCATAGGGATTATGCACACAGAGCATCTCTCTGTATTTATCTGACTGGAATCAACGTGACCTAACCTAAAAAGGAATGTTTATATCTTATGACAGGAAAGGAATGAATATATCATTTTTTATTAAATTGTAATTTAAGAGGTGACCTACATGTAGGTTTAAGAAGTTCTGAAATACCCATTTATGTCTTTTCTTTTCTGGCAGACACTAACTATTCAATTGACTGACAAGATCATCAACCTGGAAAAGTTAACTGAGGTTACCTGGATTTATGGTGGTCCTGTCCTTCCTACTCCAACTAAGACAAGTACCATCACGATGAGTTCTCATCCTTCTCCATCTACTACTAATGCTACCAGTTCTGAGACTATCACTGGTTCTGCCAGTGCAAACACTACCACTGGCACTACTGCTACTGCTCCTATCACAACCACCCCTTTTGCAACAAGTACTGTTGGTGTTACAACTAGTACTACTGTTCCCGCTACAACTTCTCCTTTCCCTACAAGTACTATTAGTGCCAGCACTAATGTTACTGCTCCTATCACAACCACCCCTTTTGCAACAAGTACTGTTGGTTTTACAACTAGTACTACTGTTCCCGATACAACTTCTCCTTTCCCTGTAAGTACTACTGGTGCCAGCACTGTTGCTAATGTTCCTACCACAGCTATACCTTTTGCAACAAGCACTATTAGTGTTACAACTAATACTACTATTCCTAGTACAGCTGTCCTTTTCCCTACAAATACTACTACTGGTAGCACTAATACTACTCTTCCTATAACAATTACACCTTTTCCAACAAGTACTATTAGTGTTACCACTAATACTACTGCTCCTGATACAATTATGCCTTTCCCTACAAATACTACTACTGCTAGCACTAATGCTTCTGTATCTATCACAGCCACACCTTTTTCAACAAGTACTATTGGTGTTACAACTAGTACTACTGTTCCTAATGCAACTGCTCCTTTCCCTACAAGTACTACTAGTGGTAGCACTAGTGTTGCTGTTCCTGTCACAACCATACCTTTTGCAACAAGTACTATTGGTGTTACAACTAGTACCACGCTTCCTGATATAACTACTCCTTTCCCTACAAGTACTACTAGTGCTAGCACTGTTGCTACTGTTCCTATTACAACCACACCTTTCCCTACAAATACTGCTGATTCTAACATTAGTAATACTGTTTCTAATGCCACTATGCCTTCTTCTACAAGTAGTACCACTGTGAGTACTATAGTTACTGTTTCCATTTCAATGACTCCTTCTCTGACCAGTACTGCTGATGCCACCCTTAGTACTACTGTACTTATTGCCACTACTCCTTCTCTAACAAGCACTACTGATGTTAGCACTAATACTACTATTTATAATATAAGTACTCCTTTTCAAACAAGTACTACTAATGCTAGCACTACTACTAATGTTGCTACTATAACCACTACCTCTTATACAAGTACTGATGATACTGTTCCAATTACTGCTATTCCTTCTCTTGCAAATACTGGTGTTGATACTACTAGTAATAGTTTTTCTATTATGACCACTTCTTCCTCTGAAAGTACTAATGCTACGAACACTATTGTTATGATAACTACTTCTCCTACAAGTGCTGATGTTGCTAGCACAAATAATGAAGCTTCTGTGACAAATTCTCTTTTACTGACAATGTCTGCTGGTAATAGAACTAGTAATAGTATTTCCATATCAACTACTTCTTCTGGTAATATTGTTCCTATTGTGACTACTCCTTCTCCAAGTACTGATGCTACTAATACAGGGAAAAATACGACTCCTGGCATAACTACTTATTACCAAACTTCTCCCACCACTCCTACCCACAGTCTTACTTCTATTCCTAGCTCTACTACTCCTATTTCGAGCATGTTTCTAACAAGTAATACATTCACTACTGATAAAATTACTAATTTTGCTACCCCTACAAATGCAAACACCATTATTTCCAACACTCTTGATACAAAAAGTACCATGATAATGGATGCTACAGTTGCTACTACCAGCACCAAAGATAATACCATGAGTCCAGATACAACAGTTACTTCCACAGACAAATTCACTACACACTTCACGCAGTTCACTGCTCCCCATTCTGCTACTACTACAACTCTAGGCTTAAGCCACACATCATTAGCTCCTACAAATCTTCCTAGTGTAGGCACCATTGATACTACTGCTGCCAGCACTACAGCCCCTATAATGGATTTAGTTACTACAAATATTATAACTATCACCACAGAGGGAAACACAAATACAACTACAGGAGTTGCTGCAGCTACTATGATGACAAATACTACTTCTACAGAAACTACCACTGAGGTAATTTCAACTCTACCTCATATAGGCACACCTGGTGCCATCACCACAGATGACATGTCTCCAACGGCACTTGCCACAGATACTGCCACTACCTATCCTCCAGATACCCCTAGTTATGCTTCAAATACCACCTCCACAGACACTGGAGATGCTACTACACCAAATACCACCAATGCAAACATTACCAGGATAATGCCAGGTGTTATAGATGTTGTAGGTACTCCCACGACTGTGAATGTTAGCATCACGACTATTCCTATTTTGAATACTTTTTCTACTACTTCAGACACAATAATTACTAGTACTGAAGACTCTGCCACTTCCTCACATATAAACACTGCAGATGTTACATCTACTACTAAAACTACTGCAAGTGCCATTACAGTACATAGTACCACTATAACTACACATATTTTCAACACAAAAACTACACATTTAATTACCAGTTCTGATACAGCCTTTACAAACACTTACATTTCAAGTACCACAGTTTTTCCCATCACCAATACTATAAATAGTACGGGTCAGGCAGTAAATGTTACTGATGCAGATAACTCTAACAGTGTTACAGGTAACACGACACACATTTCTGTTTCAAACATCACAACAGCCTCAGACACAATAACAGCTACTGGTCTAGATTTAGAAACTTCCCATATGGTAACAACAAATTCTACTACTGGGGAGTAGTGGCTAGTTATTTACCTATTACTGCAACTAGTGCTACCACAGATACTACAAATATTACCAAATATGCTTTAAATATTGCCACTCCTAATAGCACAATACATACCTCTACTACTGCACCTACTTATATTGCAGATGCCATAAATGCTACTCTAGTTCCATGATTACTACTCAAGGCAAGACAGTTACCTCAGATAACCCCTTCAGACAACTATTACAGATATAGAAAGTCAGTTATGAGATACTCTATTTTATGCTACTTAAGTTTCCACAAATGTTAGTACTCTAGCCACAAAAGACACAGCTACTCCAAACACTGTCATCATTGCAGACATGTTGAGGAAGGCTTACAATCCTTACAGCTTTCACCAAAGAAACTGTGGGTACTTATTTTGCAGCCATAATATGTACTCTTTTTCTTTTAAATTATAGTTATTATTTTTATAACCCCATCAATTAAACGACAGATGTTTTTTATGTCCTATATATCCTTGCTGTAGATTTCACGGGTAATTTTGGATCTCAGATAACACCACATTAGGCTCTATAAATACCATTGTCTTAGATGTAGTTATTAAAATAGTTCAACTTGTTTCTTGAGTCACATGACATAATGCCATAACTGAGAGCACTGGTGATACTCCCGGTACTCAAATGGCTTCTATACCAAGAGTTATTAATATTACAATAGAGTATGTAATTAGTCATGTTAAAAAATGCACTTTATTCTCCTATGAACTTTTCCAAATGGCATAGCTACCAATAGAGTCATTTGCATTACACATACTAGTAGTATTATTGCTTCTGAAGAGTTCCTAACCATAGCTACAGATATGGAAAATGCTACCATTGAAGGTCTTGTATAACCTTACTTCAGGCATTGAAATAATCTTAAATTATAAATATTATCTATTGGTTTTACTATCATAGAAAATAAACTGATTATATATCCTAAAAACATAAATTCCTGAACTTTGCAACCATTATTTTATAGGTACTACTAATACTCTTACTATAGATTTTTTAAGTACTTTCACTTATAGACAGTATTCTCAAAATTATAATCAATCTAAATTATGAGATAGTCTTAAAGCCTCACTGTTACCACCAGTGACTGGCTCTGACTCTAGTATAAATCAGAAATTATCCAGATAGAGGTGAGAATGTAAATATATGGCATAAGGAAGACAGCCTCTGCACTGAAATCACAGTTCATAATCTTATTTGTGTTTTCTTCTTTTCATACAAGCTTTTCCCTTATAATTTCACTGTCCAGACTCTCCTTCATTATGTTAGGGTTATCAGTCTGTTCCTGATCTTTTAGATCCAAATTCATCATTTATCCTTGATCTAGTCTTTTCTTAGGTCACTCAGACCCCCAGGAGTAGACCCATGGTTATTACCAAATCTGACCAGTTGGGTACTTTGAAGGGTTAATGTTGGGACAGTATTCTCAAAGTTTAGTTCATGGATCCATGGGGTGCCACAAGTTCTTAAAATCTACTTTCATAATGCTTCTAAGTTACCTGTTTTTTCAGTCTCATTGTCTCATTAGTATATAGTGGCATTGTCCAGAGACTCTATGCTGTATTGTGTCACAATAGATGAATATAGAAACAGAAAAAACAATCTAGCTGTCTTCTATTAAGCTAGATATTAAACAGATTTATAAAATGTAAAATAATGCCATTCTTCTTACTAATTTTTTTTTTGCTTTGGAAAATATAGTTAGTTTTCATTAAAAACATATTTTTTGTTATCACAAAGTGAATGTTATTTTTTATGAATGAAAAATAAATATTTAAAAATATTTTACAAATGACTCAATTTTGATTTCTAATGCAGCAAGTATTAGCAGATATAACCCACATAAATAAGGCATAATGCCCTCACTAATTTTGAATGTAAAAGGGTTCTGAGACCAAAGAGTTTGAGAACACCTTCCTTTAAGTGGGCATAAAACATCCTATTTCCACTCTCACGTCCTAGTCAAGTATATTATCAACTTCCCCAGCATGCAGGCACTCCAGCATCTATAACTTACTCCACATGAATATCTTCCACTGTCTACAAAGACATCTGCCCAGCTTTTTGACCTGCCAGCCCAGCTATACTGTTGTCCAGACAATTTGATGGTGCTCCAGACGAGGGGCACAGATTCATCAGTCGGGAGCATTTGCCTTTTGGAATCTGCCCACAAGCTACAGTCCTCTGAACAAAGTTGATAGACCTTATGCTTGTATATACATGACTCTTAACGTGACCTTCCAACTCAAAGCAAAACTCAAAATTCGATGGACTTGGTCACAGACTTCCTCACTTGTGTCTTCACTGAGGGAGAGGAAGTGCATTTGTGTTGTTGGCACCACACACTCTGACACAGGACAAAGTGCTCTGTGTGCTAAGGCATGGCACCTGATATCCTGCTGCCAATCCACCATGCCAGCACTGATTCACTGACCAAAGGCTTCACTGAAAGCAGCTGGGATTTGGAAAACTGAAGATGAATCTGCTTGAACAAGCGTAGTTCTGAAGGCACCAAAGTCCAACCTCTTAAACACGTAATTGGAACATAATTGAAAAGGTAAGAAATAGTTTGAATATACAAAAATCTGGACTTTGGTCAGATGTTTGAAAAGACTTGAGAATTGAAACTCAGGAGTCAATGCACAAGTAGTGATCCCAGAACGAGGTTCAGAAAACCTGAGGGCAAGGTTGACATGCTCATCCTGCCATTGGAAACACTAGCAAAACCTGTCCTTGGACTGATGTATAAGGTCTAGGGAAACTCCTATGTTCATAATGACTAGCCCCACTGGGTCATCCACATATGTGATGTTAATTATGCACAAATGATTATAACTCATGTTCTAAGTATAAAGAAATTTACTTTTCTCTACTTCTGACACTTGAGACATTCCTACCTTTACCATTACCATGGGCATCCTTATTATTACACCTGAAATTCATAATTACTAATTTAAACTTCATTTTACAGCATTCCAAGTATCACTATGCAAACACTATTCATGTTGACCACTTAAAAGATGCCACACATAATGCATGGTTAATTTTCCAATGAGAAATACAGATGACAGATGTTTTGGATTGACAGGGAACTCACTGGAGTCTAGAGGTATGTAGGAATACTTCAAGGAATAGGGAAGCTCAGAGGTATCCTATAGCACAGAAAAGAGTCAAAGAAAGCTTCCTGGTGGGGAACGAGTTGGACAAGAGACCAACTTTACACAGTGTGATTAGGAGATATAAAATAGTCCACTCTTTCTACAGCATGAGAATTGTGAGAACATACATGATTTAAAGTTTATCAATTTCCATCACCAAACTTCAGTGTATATGAGATTAGACATTCAAATGAGGGTGGAACGAGTGTTCATGCAGTAAAGGAACTTATAGGGCTAGAGAACGCTTTGGTTTTCACATCCCCTTCTCCATGGGAGAGTGGAGTGGTGCTGTGTATGCACTCTTAATCTCCAGAGTACCAGTTCTTCTGCTCATGGAGATTAAGAGTACCTGTGAGAAACTGGGACTGGCATCCACTCCCAGCTAGACATTTACTGAACTGGAGAAACTCTTGTCCCTCACCCCCACCAGATGATACAGTGGAGCATGGAGCATGGGCAAGGTTTTCAAAATCCTCATCATGCTTCACCCAGAGCATGGAAGCCAAAGAAATCACAAGGAATGGCACTAGAGTCTTGCCTGGAGAATTCCAAAGGTGGCAGGGACTGGAGATCCTGCAGTGGTGGGTGTGGAGCCAGGGAAGTAGTGGTGCAACCTGGACTCAACAGTGTTTAATGGACGAGGAAGCTGAAGCTCCTCAGGTGGGTGTGGGGAGGCGGGTGGGCTAGGGCTGTCATGAAGCAATCTGTGCAGTGGAGGAGGGACTCTAGTGATGAGAGGTTGTGGATGGACTGCCAAGAGTGGAAACTGAGTTTGTAGTGGGGAGAGGTCCAAATAGGTCATGCAGATCGCATCTCACCTAGTGTTAGATGCTGCACAAGGGGCCTCTGAAAAACTTGCTAATGTGCCTGTGAGAAGAAGGCAGCACAGGGGTCCTGTCACTAGAGTCTTGGCTGGAGAAATGCAAGGGTAGCAGGGATTGGAAACCCTGCAGTGGTGGCGTCTTTTTCATAAGTTTTCATAAGTTCCATGCAATGTTTCTAACACATTGGCAACTTCAACACAACTTATCTATTTATTGTTCATTTAAAAATTATTAAAAAGGGAAGAATTTTGGGGACAGGACCTAGGAATGCTTCATTGGTAAAATGGAAGGATTGAGGAAGGGCCTAGGAAAATACCTAGTATAATAGTAAGAACCCATTGTCTGGCACTCTTCCATTTATCAAAACATTGTATAACCTTGAATATATACAATTTTCATTTGCCAATTATACCTCAATAAAGCTGGAAAAAAAGAGCTGGTCGCCCTCTTCCTTACCAACAATATACCAAGAAGATGACTTTGAGGGTACCCACAGATGCCTTGCCATAGCATCAATCACATGGGAACCTTTGTCTTTTCTTTTAATTTCTATCTGGCTGTGAAGAATACCTGGAAACAGTCAAGAAAGAGGAGAAAGTAGTAGTGTAAAAACACAGACCATAATCCCCTTCCTCACTGCTGGAGGTGGCTTCTTGGGGAAGGAGAAAACTTGACATGGATGTGAAAATGACATATTAAGTTAGATGACACAAATTCTTGAACACTTCCAAATGACCAGAAAGTGATGGGGTCTGTTGAGATACCGGATAAGAAAAGAATTTCAATTTAGCATTGAGGAAGAGGGGCTACGATTAAGAAAAAATGAAAAGCCTGAGAATGCTAAAAAGACATATACTACCTCACTTCACATTGCTCTTACCTGTCAGAATGATGGATGAACATTCATCCTTAAGATTGTAATGCTTTGTAAGTCACTTAGTCCAAGGAAAAATGAGAATCTCATGGAGTACAATAGTTACGTCTAGGCCCCAAAGGAAGTTTGAGGTTTTCTCACCTTAACCAATCTGATGGCTTTAGAGAAGGTGTCTTTGGAGATTTTTAACTACGTAACTGAGAAAAGTTTGGCTTAAAAGAAGAAGTAAAGGTGTCTGTACAATCTATGGGCCTTGTTACATAACAACGACCCCTTATATTTGCATCATAATCCATAGTTTAAAAAGGGCCATCCATAAATGTTTTATTTTGTTTCACTCCTGCTATGAGCCAGAGAGCGAAGGAATCTTTATACTTTTTTCTCAGAGGCAGAAAGGAAGACTTAGAAAGGTTAAATGACTTCTTCAAGAACACAAAGTCTTAAAAAGTGGTAGGGCTTGGTCTTCTGATTCACTTCCTATTACTCATCTGTTTCAGGGTCCCATCTCCTGAGGAAAGTCCATCTTTGCTATGGTGTGATTAAAAACAAAATAAAATGAACAAAACCCCACTTCTAGAACCAAAGAAGCTGTGTAAGAGTCCTGCTATTATTCCTATCTATTTATGTGACCTGGGTCAACTTGCCTGACTCCTCTTAGCCTTATTTAATTTCTTCATTGGTAACATGGAAGGATTGAGAGGGTGCCTAGGAAAATACCTAGTATAGAAAGGACCTATAATTTGGTACTCTTTCCCATATATCAAAACATCTTGTAACCTTGAATTTTCATTTGTCGATTATACCTCAATAAAGCTGGGGGGAAGAAAAGAGCTGACCGCCGGGTGCGGTGGCTCAAGCCTGTAATCCCAGCACTTTGGGAGGCCGAGGCGGGTGGAGCACGAGGTCAAGAGATCGAGACCATCCTGGTCAACATGTGAAACCCCGTCTCTACTAAAAATACAAAAAATTAGCCAGGCATGGTGGCGCGTGCCTGTAATCTCAGCTACTCAGGAGGCTGAGGCAGGAGAATTGCCTGAACCCAGGAGGTGGAGGTTGAGGTGAGCCGAGATTGCACCATTGCACTCCAGCCTGGGTAACAAGAGCAAAACTCCGTCTCAGAAAAAAAAAAAAAAGAGCTGACCACTCTCTTCCTTACCACTAATACACCAAGAAGATCCTTCTAGCTTCATAGGTTCTCTACCCCAAATTCTTCCCTTTTTGATAATTTTTTAAAAATGAACAATAAATATATATGTTGTGTTGAGAAGGGTTGACACTGAGACTGCAGGCACTGAATGTGAACACCAAGGACTTTGCAGAGTCTCAAAGTGGAGCATCCAGAATCCTCCATGGGAAAAGACAGCAAAGGTAATCAGCTCATTACCTCTCATGTAGTGCTTGGCCATGAAGCAGGGCTATGACATTAGTTAAACACTAGGCCTCTGGAGCAGTGACACAGAGTTTGCTGATGCCATAGTCCTGGTTTCCAGGGGATTAAGATCCCTTTAAACACCTTTAAATATCCAGAATAGGGGTCCCTCTTAGATGAGAAGAACAACAAACAAAGCGATTCATAGATGAGGATGATGACTTTAAGACTTTAAAACTTGAAGAAGAGGGTGGTGCTGAACTTGTCAAGATTAGAAAAAATACATCAGCCGGGCACAGTGGCTCACGCCTATAATCCCAGCACTTTGGGAGGCTGAGGCGGGTGGATCACATGGTCAAGAGATCGAGACCATTCTGGTCAGTAAGTTGAAACCCTGTCTCTACTAAAAAAAATACAAATATTAGCTGGGCATGGTGGTGCGCACTTGTAGTCCCAGCTACTCAGGAGGCTGAGGCAGGAGAATTGCTTGAAACAGGGAGGTGGAGGTTGTGGTGAGCCGAGATCGTGCCATTGCAC